ATATGTGACCCTTATTTGCAGCACGGTAGCAAGCGTTCTAGGCTCAGTCCCGAGGGAATATAGGGTCGAACCCCATACGAGACGAGACGTGTGGGGAAAGGCTCCTAACACCTGCTACCTGTGTTATCCAGCAGTAAAGAGATACCTGGGTGTTAGTCGACCGTTCTTGGCCACATAATGGAGGAGGATCCGAGGTGGACCACAGCGAAAACAAGCCACATTTATTGATTTTGTTGGGCTATTCTGGCATACTAACTCTTCGAATGAGGCTCTTTTTTTTTTTAGTACACATCCAGATGCTGGTGTTGCTAGCAACTAGAACGTCCAGATTCTGCTCATCCAGACGTTTACAACCTTGGGAAATTCATATCTCACTTTCCCTCCTAAAGAAATATATCATGATTATCTTAATGAAAAGTATATTGTGTTGTATTCTTGCGTGGTGTGTGAGGTAGGGAAAGGGAGGGAGGGGGAGAGAGGGAGAGAGTCTAAGTGTGTGTGTGTTTGTGTGTGTGAAAGGAGAGAGAGAGAGAGAGCGCGCAAGAGAGGACGGGGGAAGGGGGGTGTTAAGGAATATTATGCTCCTTGCCACATCTCAAGCGCGAACAGTTTCAAGTTTAGCTATTCAGGGGGTTGTAAGGACACATTTGCACGTTACAGTTTTGTGTTGGTTGAATTAGTTTTCCCTGCAGCGTACCCAGAGATGTCTCCAAGGGAAAGGCTGGTAAATGGTGGCGTAGAGGACACGGGTCAATACTTGCAGTCAGAGCACAGGACTTTAAAGGCATGAAAACCTTCGTGTATTGCTACTGACACCTAACTCCGAAGAGTATGCATTGACAGGTGTGTATCTCTGTGTATATACAGCGACAGATTAATTTATTTTCTGTTATGGAGACCGAAATCTCTTTGGTGGTGTACGGATGACATGTTATTTTAATGATCCTCATGTAGTCGATTAGGTTTCAAAACGTAATTAACCAATCAGCCGACATTTGATCACAGTAATTCAACTCCTGACTACATTCTTGCTTGATTATTTATATTCACAGCAATACAAACTTATATCCCATTTTTTCTATTTCATCTTTTAAAAAATCCAATTTCTTCCACCCCTCAATTGTGGTTTGATAAGCCAGATTCCAAAGCCATTAAGCGGCAGAATGGCGTTTTCAGATCCCGGCAGAGGTCATCTACAGTTTACTTCCATCTCCCGGCAGTAGCCTCCTTCGGCAGTTTACTTTTTCCTCTCAACCGTAGTGTTCTACTGTGGCTCACTTTCAGCACCAATAACATTCTCCGTCTGCAGTTTACCAGAGATCCCAGCAGTGGTCTCCTGCACAACTTTATACGTCTCGTAAAAAAAAAAAAAGTGTGAGGTGTGCTCTGTGTATGTCACAACATAACTGAAAACAATGAGGTAATCCATGGCCAAACTCTTAGTAATCCCTCTGGTCTCTTGTTTTCAAACACGTAGCCTACGTCCTGCTTGTTTTCTCCATTCTAAGGTAGTGAAGAACTCGTTGGGTGAAATCAGCGTGAATTGGGCATTATTGTTAGGCGTATATAAAAGAGAGAGAGCCAGGAGCAATGAATCGACCTCTCCAAACACAGCTGTAGAGTACAGTTAGGCGAACACAACCAGGAGAGTACATCTTGTGAGTAGAGTACAACTAGGCAAAAACCACTGAACACAATGAAGTTGAGTAAAACTAAGCGAGAACAGTTACTAACGACTTAAATTATTCGATATTAGATATTCAATAAATATTTTTAAGACAGCCAATGAAAAAATTAAATAACATTTTTCTTCTCTACAGATGTACAATAAGGAAACTTGTACAGGTCATCACATGACACCTGCTTCACCAGGAATTTTCCCAGTTGTTAATGGCAAACAAAATACACCCTCGTGCAGAGAACAATACGTTGCAGAAAGCACTTTTATTAAAACAAGGTTTCACTCTGTAGATTTTCACGAAAGCTCTACATAGAGCGAAACGTTGTAGCAATAAAATTTTATGCCAACGAGTCTTTCCTTCAATACTGTTGTCAGTACGTCATTCGGAACCAAAACACACCTTTGAGGAGAAGTTTCTAGGGAACTCTTCAGGTAGTGGATGTGTCTATCCTGTTTCTGTGACTTGTGATAACTTCTACTAATTAACCAGGAGGAAGCCAAGGTCTAAAACTCGTGCCCCCTCCTCCAAACTTGGGTGACTCGCTAATTGCTGGTATCCGGAACACATTTCTTGGCTAGTGTGGCCGCTCGCCACACTAGCCAAGAAAGTGCAAGACTAAAGTTAAATGTTTGTACTGCACAATACGTGAGCCAACACAGCAGCAGCAACAGCAGCAGCTCGTGACCTGAAAATTGTTTCCGGATTTGCAGCTGCTGACAACAGCGTTAGATTACTTTTCCTGTCTTCACCTTATCTGTGTCTCTATACACACACACAAACACACACACACACACACACACACACACACACACACACACACACACACACACACACACACACACACACACACACACCATACTCCATACTGGAGTATGCAGCACCAGTTTGGAATCCACACCTGGTCAACCAAGTCAAGAAATTAGAGAAAGTGCAAAGGTTTGCAGCAAGACTAGTCCCAGAGCTCAGGGGACTGTCCTACGAAGAAAGATTAAGGGAAATTGGCCTGACGACACTAGAGGACAGGAGGGTCATTGGAGACATGATAACGACATATAAAATACTGCGCGAAATAGACAAGGTGGACAAGACAGGATGTTCCAGAGATGGGACACAGAAACAAGGGGTCAGAATTGGAAGTTGAGCCAAAGGGATGTTAGGAAGTATTTCTTCAGTCATAGAGTTGTCGGGCAGTGGAATAGCCTAGAAAAAGACGTAGTGGAGTTTTAAGACGAGGTTTTATAACGCTCATGGAGCAGGGAGAGAGAGGACCTAGTAGCAATCAGTGAAGAGGCAGGGCCAGGAGCAATGAATCGACCCCTGCAGCCATAAGTAGGTGAGTACAAATAGGTGAGTACACACACGGTTACTTAATACAGGGCAACTGCCAGAGGTGTGCAAGAAAGCAAACTTGCTTCCCATTTTTAAGAAAGGAGTCAGGCAGGTAACACTAAGCTACAGTCGCTGACATACTATGTAAGATGATGGAAAAGATAATCAGAAGAGTAGAGAAGATCTGGAAAGAAGCGATTTTGTAAACACCAAACAGCACGCTTTTAGAGATTGTTAATTCTGTCTCACAAACCTGATAAGGTAACAGAAAAGACGATACAAAAGCTGGAGGAGCAGGCAAGAATAGCATAAAAAGCACTAAAGTGGATCAAGGACTATCAGGAAGAAAACAGTGAGTGTCTGGGAAGACATCAAAATGGTTAAGTGTGACAAACGGGGTTCCACAAGGATCGGTACTCGGACCGGTAACTTTCCTGAAGTGCTTAAACGATATGAAAAAAAGAGATAGTCTGATTTAGCCCTGATCGTTGATGTCAAACTAATGATGAGAATAAAAACAGGTGAGGGTAAAGAAAAGCTATAAACGGATCTGGAAAAACTGAAATATTGGTCTGTCAATGTTTACTGTCATTCAGCCTCAGGAAGTGCAAGGTCATGAAAGAAGATAAGAAACGGAGTACAGGCGCTGAGAACAAAGCAGCAAATACTGCCTCAAGATTAACCTCATGGCGAGCATAGTACCGAGCTCAAATCTGCAACCACAAACGAGTACAAATGGGTACAGACACACGTAGCGGAGCCGAGACTCGACCCCTGCAACTATATGTAGATGAGAAAGCTGCAGCTGTGGTCAGATAAGTGGCTTCTCGAGTTCATCCCAAACAAATGCAAGATCATTTGTTTTGGAAGGTAGACCAGAAACGGAGAAAATCTGCAGATATCAGAGTGAAAATTACTGGGGGCGAAAATAACTCTTAGTATATCTCCAGAGTTGTACAACGATATTTGTAAGACTACCACAGAACAGTGTTCATGAACTCGAGCTCAGGATATACGTTAGGTCAATCAGTAAGTCCCCAGCATAGAGCCAGAACCCGGCCAAGAACGTGAAGACACTCAGAAAGGTTCAAAGATTTACAACCAGGCAAATAGAGGATAGAAATGAGATTAATGCATTACGAAAGGAGGTTGAAGGAAGTGGACCTGACTACCTTACAGGAATGAAGGATATGAGGGGACATGATTACTATGTGCTAATTCTTAAGGGTAGATAGGCAGAGGCTGAATTATTCAGGGAAAACATAGGTACTATCTTTTAGCTAGTGGGGATTTATCTGATAATTGATAAAATGTTGGATAAGTGGACACAAATGCGACTAATGTGAAATTTTTATTGTGGCAAAGTTTCGCTCTTAAGAGCTTTGCCAAGCCATTACAGCTTGGTAAAGCCACTGGAGAGCGAAACGTTGCCACAAAAAAAATATCATATAAACTGCATCTGTGTCCTTTTACCTAACATTTTGTCGGTAATTATTACTAAGATTAGATAAAACTTAATTGTGCATGAAACGTCGCACAGAGACGTTTCCAGTGGTAATAATGGTACCGACATTCCCACTTGTCAGCTTACACCAGCGTTTATCTCCAGTTATAAACCTCTGGCGGACAGCCTCCAGTCTTACCTTGCTGGTGCAAGTGTTTCGATTTTTGAAAACCGAGCTACGCTCCCCTGCCTGGGACCAAACCTATTGTATCATGGACACTTATCTACGCAGTTTAATCATATTCAAAAAGGTCACACAGTTTAGATTCGAGGAACGAGAAGGTAGCTTCAATTCCTCGAATAAAGAGCACTTCACCAGCGTCAAGGTATTTACATTGACAGGATCATCCAAAGGATCTTCACTTGGTCTAAATGAACCAGTGAAAGTCTTGTAGTTTGCTCAAGCCTCAGCTGATTTTATCACAGAGAATAAATTAGCAACAATCTCATTAGATTTTCCCGAGAAAAAGGTGCCTGGAACTGACCTTGTTGTGAGAGAGCGAGGTCAGAGGTGACCAGGCAACACAGGAGCACCAGAATGACCTGACCTCCGCCCACCATCTTCCAATACACCTGTAACAATAGAACAGTATAGTTAATTCATTGAAATATATTCTAATTAAAACTAAATATATATTACACAGAAATAACTGATGATAAATGAGTTTCCTATTTATAGTCACTCAACCCTGGTGGGAGACTACTGGTGTGTTAAATGCTGAACAGAAGCAGATTTTGCATACCATTAGTATAAGGATACATGTACCATTTACGAAGTTCTGAGAGAACCATAGGATCTTTATCCATTTATTTCAGAATCTCACCCAACAGGCTCTAAAAGGGTTGTATAGAGTCTCACTTTTCTCCCTTATTTACAGAACTCCAACAACCCAGATCAGTATCACATAGAATCTTTTCATTCCGTTTTCCCCTCAGAATTTCGGGGGTAGTATTCAGAGAGCATTATATAGAACCTTCTCTTCACCTCAGTCTAATCTCATTCTAAACCTTAAACTTACCCACCTATCTCCAAGAACTTCACACAGTCCTGGCTCTACTAATACAATTATTCATAGAAAACGGACCTCACTCGCCTTGCTTCCGTCGATATACGACCTATCATGCCAGGACTGCCGTTTTATAACCAGTTTTTCGAGAAATGAGGCAGATGGCAAGTATGTCCTGGGATGTTCCTTATCTTTAATAAACTCCTTCCGCACAGACAAGTTCATAGTAGTGAAATATTCACACGTCTTCTCAATTTTTAGTGACCCGGTGGCCTGGTGGCTAAAGCTCCCGCTTCACACACGGAGGGCCCGGGTTCGATTCCCGGCGGGTGGAAACATTTCGACACGTTTCCTTACACCTGTTGTCCTGTTCACCTAGCAGCAAATAGGTACCTGGGTGTTAGTCGACTGGTGTGGGTCGCATCCTGGGGGACAAGATTAAGGACCCCAATGGAAATAAGTTAGACAGTCCTCGATGACGCACTGACTTTCTTGGGTTATCCTGGGTGGCTAACCCTCCGGGGTTAAAAATCCGAACGAAATCTTATCTTATCTTATCTTATACAGATTTCACGAACCTTTTGTTCGTATAAAATTTGTTTAGTTTAAGAAATTTACTGATTAACCACTTAGTTACTGATTAAATCACGGCTAGTATTTAAATCGATATAAGATTCGTTAACGTTAAATATACAGCCAGGTTAAGAACTGTTATCCAACCTCAGATTATTTGAAAGCCCAGCCCAGTATAAGGCATACTTCCAGCTCCAAGAATGCGTCCCACAACAGTCGACTAACACCCAGGTACCTACTTACTGCTAAGTGAACTGGGGCGGCAACAGAAAGCAAACGTGCCCAAAGTTTCCACCCTATGCCGGGGATCGAACCACGGACACTCAATATGTGAGCTGAATGCACTATCAGTCCAACCAAGGGACGTGACAAAGACATATACATTGCACAAAAAGTTTTTGTTTGGACAACGTTTCGCTCTGTATAGAGTTTTGTCAAGTCATACTTGTTGGCAAACAGCAATTTCATCCATACCAACTATGTTTTAAATAAACCTTGTAAAAAATGACGTTTAATCTGAAGAAGTCAAGATGCATTCAGCATCCGTCAGCATCCAACTTCTGGAAGAAATCACTGACCAGAAAATGCAGCAGTCAGTACTTCCACCTCGAGGCAACGATATTGTTACTGACAGGGAAATAATAGAACTGTCAATACAAACTTCTTCTTCTTCCAGGAGACTGTAAGTTAGCCTTTCCTTAGTAATGCCACGAGTCAAGTTTGTGTCCTTCTGGTGGTGATGGTGGTGATGGTGGTGGTGGTGATGGTGATGATGGTGGTGGTGATGGTGATAATGGAGGGAACGATTAAATTGTAAGAGGTATATAGTATCCAGGGAATGAAGAGACAGGTTTGATCCTGTTAAAGGGAAGATATTCACAGTCATTTGGAGCAACAGTTAGTCTAGGGCAGGGATTACAGTGGAACTTCAGTACTCGAGCTTAATCGTTCCAGAAGGCTGTTCGAGTGCCGATCTGTTCGAGTACATAACGAATTTTTCCCATAAGGAATAATGTAAATCAGATTAATCCGTTTCAGATACCCAAAAATACACTTACAGCGACTTTGCGGTGTATTTTCGTATGGTATTTATGATTATATTCTCTTTTTTTTTGGTCTACCTTGAAACTGAGCTCAAAGTAGCGGAAATGTTCGATTTTTGCTGATGTTCGAGAGTAAACAAATACGTCACGCGTCCAATACACGTCAACTGGTGGGTCTAATATGCTTTCATAAATGCGCTGATATTATTTATACCATTTTTTCAATAATGCAGTAGTCTGCATGGCAGTAAATCTTATATTTTTTGTGTGAATAAAAATTCAAAATGAAAGCAAGCGTAATATAAGAGGAGCCTGAAGTGGGAAGAGCTATAGGAGAGAGAGAGGGAGGGGCCAGCAGAAGTAGCATTCAGTATCTGATGAGTCGTCTTAATAGCCGGATACTAGCAGTGGCGCGAATAGTGTTGTGTAATTACGTTAATGTTAGTAATGAAGGTTATCTATCAAATTTATTCAAACTTGATAACAGAAGTACTACAGATAACCTAGAAGCACATATATGGAGAGACAGAGACAGTGTTTACATCAGGGCAAACACACACTAACCAATTTTCTTTCTGGTTGGCTGTTATCACTAATCATCTTAGGCACCATGGTGACTTATACAAATAATATTATAAAAAAAAAAATACCCAAAAATGCGATGAAACACGAAATAGTTTACAGTGAAGTTCAGCGGAGTTTTGGACTCAGCGACGGCAGCGGGGAGACTGGCAGTAGTGTTCGGTCGAGTGCCGAGCAAACGGTCGACTACTGAGCGATTTTTTTTTTACCGAGCAAGGCGTTCGAGTGCCGAATTGTTCGAGTACAGAGCTGTTCGAGTACCGAGGTTTCACTGTACTAATCTTTTTACGGTTACAGACCCTATCGATTGCCCTACATGTCCCCAAACCCCCGTCAGACTGTCGAAATTATCACTAGTACTATGAGGTACCAGTATGACTTCTAAAGATAGTAAGAGCTTTGTTTTACTTTACATATAGATAGCTAGGAACATAACAGCTGATGGTTTATTCTAATCTTTTTTTTTAATAGTTCGAAGATCGAGTCCTATACCCCTATTATTTGGTTCTCATACCACCAAGGAGGTATAGATACCACCGGTAAAGAACTCCTGGTCTAGGGCTTGAAAGCACCTCTTTTGAAGGGTGACACAGACCTTGATTAAATGACTTGTAAACTGGTTTAGCATTTACTGGCTTATCCCATCTAGGTTTTCACCTAATTAAAAAAAATAAGGGAGGCAGAAGATTTTATTCGGATTATTAATGAAGAGGGCTAGTAATCAAGGATAGTCTAACAAAGCCATCGTGGCTTATTTCTGCTGGGTTTCACTGGTCCTCTTCCCAGGACACAAGCCACACCAGTTTACTTACAGTCTACTAAGGTCAAAGTCTGGTTCTTCAGATGCGGAGGACGTTACCACCTGAACTATGAGCCACCCCACACAGTAGTTTATCTTAAGATGATACCTCACAGGTAGGCCAGACCAACCTCTGAGGACTCAGTGTAAACAATGCACATAGGTGGACATATTTGGAGAGCTTAACCTTGACTGAATCTGCGTGATTTACTACCAAAGTATCCTCTCAAGGGATGCCTGGGTAGTGAGAGAGAAGGGGAGGTCTTGTGTAACTCCCCACCCCTCGATGATTTAGCGCTCCCCAAAAGTGCAATAATAATAATAATAATAATAATAATAATAATAATACCATAATACATCAATTTCTATTATGTGCATTTTAACCATTTTGTTAAGTAATTAATTTCCAATCACACTGATTCCTCAGTTAAATGGATAAACTGCATATTAAGATATCACTGTGTTTTTTGTCACTAAGAACCCCTTTTATATAAATTAATTTTCCCAGGGATCCCAGGTTTCTGAATGATCTGTCTACTCAACAAACCGATTTTATTAACAACAAACTCGTTTTCCCAGTTCCATCTCTCAGTTGAAAGACATCCCTGTGTATTTAATTAAATAAATAACAGTATTAAAGAAAGTTTTTTTGGTCAATGAGATGATTGGTGATTGCTTTTAAATTTTGAACTTAGCTCACGGGTCCCCAGTACTACGTTTGTGGACCCCCAAGGGTCCGTGGACCACAATTTGGAAACTGCTGCCTTATACGATAGTAGATCAAGGGAGACGTACTGACAGCGTACAAGATACTCGAATGGACAACCCAGGGAGGATAGAAGTGAATCTTCTTGAAGAATAATTCCAATTAAAATGATATTAGACACAAGAACCGGAGGAGACATGTTAACATCTTACAAGATACTTAAGACGACATGCTTGGGTAACATAAACAACTGTCTTTAAAGGAGGAAGTCGTGGAAAAGCGAACACAGACGGAAGTTAAAAGTGAAACATTAGATAGCGGCTCGTACCTCTTAAGGCTAAGGGATTTACGCCCCAGACGACCCAAATGGGAGACTTGTTACCACCAGATATCCATGGCAGGGGTCGAGACACTATCCCCGCCTGGAAGGTAGGAAGATCCAGCCTTCAGCCTTTCAAACACTTAAAAAAATTATTGAGCTAGGGGAACAACAGGAGGTACGACTTCATAATTATTATATTGATGAGAAAGTCGTATAATCCAAAACCTGTTTTGGTTTATAGAGCAGCTAATGAATGGGAGGTAATCAGGTACGGGGACGGTAACTCCTATTTCTTGACCCAAAAGCCCCATACCATCAAGGCATTAACTAGTTACTCTACAATATGATGGTGGTCATGAACCAGGCCGCGGGGGCGTTGACCCCCGGAACACCCTCCAGGTATACTTCATGTATACCTGGATAAGGAAATAGTGGAAGCTGACTAGGTACGTGACGGGATCCACCAAGCAGGGAATTAATGTAACCGGCTGAGAGTAGATGCAAGGCGAAACCAGAAACAAAAATCGGTATTTACAATTCG